TTTTTTTTTTTTTTTTTTGGTACTGGGGATTGAACTCGGGTCCTTGCACTTGCGCAGCAGGCAGTGAAACCACTGAGCTAAATCCCCTGCCCTCAGGAACTTTCTTGAAATTTGCCTCACCCAGGAGTCTTTGTCATGTTTTTTTCAGTGCTTTGGTAGTTTTTGTTTGTTTGTGTGTGGTGCTGGGGATTGAATCCAAGGCCTTCACACTGAGGTACGTGCCCAGCCCTGGTTTTAATTTTCAATTTTGAGATGTTGTGATAATAAGTCACTAAGTTTCCTAGGCTGGGCTCGAATTTGTGATCCTCTTTCCTGAGTTTCTCAGAGTGCTGGACTTACAGGTATGCGGCACCACACCTGGCTGATTATGGCAGATGTTACAGACTTTTGTTTTTTTAGTACCGGGGATCGAACTTGGGACCTTGCGCTTTCAAGGCAGGCACCAGAACCACTGAGCTAAATCCCCAGCCCTGTTTATAGACTTTTTATGATGGTAATATTAATTGCAGTTGCTTCCTACAGTTGGTAATTCCTTTTCTCTGTGGCCTGTCTCTTCAACCAAATGTCAGGCTTCTCAAGGGCAGAAGAAAGCAACATACTCTTCCTTAAATTTTTTTTTTTTTTGGTCCCGGGGATTGAACTCGGGTCCTTGCACTTGTGCAGCAGGCGGTGAAACCACTGAGCTAAATCCCTGGCCCTCTTCCTTAATTTTTGATAGTAGTTTTTAGTACTTTTGTAGTAGGGACAGTAATTAATTAATGCTAGTCTAGTGAATGGGGCAAGTAGTCAATGAGAACAGTCCACAAATCTCTCTGGCTCCAGATAATTCTTTACATCCTTTGACTTCATTCTGACATTCACAGACTAAGTCCTAATGAGCACTTTTTTTTTTTTTTTTTTGCTTTTTATGAAGAAAGTTCTAACATGTTCCTTATTGTGGTAACTACTGTATTTGATAACCTTTCTAATTAGCATTACATTTTAAATGCTTTTAAAATGCCCCATTACATGTTTGTCCAATAGTCCATGACAATTCAGACATGTAATTGCTATTATAGATTACCTGGTGACCATCATTAAATAATTAGAGAGATTTAAACATGTGTAATGCCAATTAGGAAAATTATCAGCTCTGGGTTGTTAAGATAATAGGGAACCTGATGATGATTTTGTTTTGGAACTGCAGTAAAACCATGGCTAGGGGATATGGATGAATCCTGTGAATTTAGTGCCTGAGGAAGTAAGGAGCCTCTTTAACGATGGAAAATTTGGCACAGCAGTGACTTTGGGACCTGTACCCTGTTTTTGTCACTCTGTTATAACTGCGACTGTCAAAATACTGTACTAGGGCAGCAAAGGGGGTCAAACCCAAACCAAGATACAGCCAGGGAATGCCCCTTATCTTCTCCCTTGGAGCACGCCCATACATCAATACCATTCTATTTCCGGTCTTGCTTTTGTAGCCCTGTGATGTAGTACGCCTCCACTCAACATGTTCCATTAAGCAGTATGGTTTTTTCCCCCTGAAAAAACTGATGACTGTATTATTAGGAGTCACCCAAGCTCAGTGTGGCTGCACACACCTGTAACCGCAGCTACTTGGGAGGCTGAGGCCAGAGGACTACAAGTTCAAGTGCGGCTTGAATAACTTAGTAAGACCTTGTCTCAAAAGAGAAATAAAAATATGGATATAACTCAATGATGGAGTGCTTGCCTAGCATGCATGAGGCCCTGAGTTTGATCCTCAACACAGTGGGTGGGGGGGGGGAGTCATCCAAGACTGCGCAACATTTTCACAAAGCCATTTGACCTGACCATTGTTTCAAGCAGTTCTTGGAATGTTGGAGAATTGTTACAGAATAAGAGCAAGGAACATGACATCTTCTCTGAAGGAACATGACATGGTCTGGGAACATTTTGTGTTTTAAAGAAATGGTATTTCACTTTTCCGAAATAGTAAGAAGTGGGTTTTGAAAGAGTGATGGGGAAATATAGCTAGTTTTAAATGCCATTTCAGAAACATACATGAAATAATATGCCAAATTCGGTATGTGTCTGTGCATTTTTCTTAAAGGAAGGACTAGCTACATTTCCATCAGATTCTGCTCTCTAGCCTTTTTATAAACTGTGAAATGGCTGCATGTTCCCTTGAGGCACCAAGGAATAGTGCTGTGTTGGAGACTGAGGATGCTCTACTGTGAATAGAAGTTAAAAAAAAATTGTAGTCAAAATTCAAAAGGTGAAAGAAATATTCTCATCATACAGTGCTTTCATAATTATAGAGCAAAGAGTTACAGAGACCTCAGAATCAGCTGAACATCATTAGTGTCTGTCAGGGGCCTATTGTCCGCCTGGAGAACTGTTTGGGGTCTTGGAAAAAAAGAAAGGAAGGTAGAATTTTACTCCTCAATCACAGAATGTTTTAGAGCCCCTTTGTCATCTAATGGCTTAGGCAGTTGTGACTCCTTTTAAAAAGCCAAGCTTTAGGTAGGTAGGAGTGTGGCACACTTTGCTGGAACAAGAATAGGTGTCCTCTGAGATGACTGTAGTTCATAGGGACCCACATATGTGCTTTAATGTATATGTGTCATAGTTGGTGACCCACATTGTGTGTTTAGAGCCTTGAGCTTGCTGCTTGATGTTTTTCAATCTTGTCCATGAACACAGTAATATCAGGGCCTGAAAAATTCCTGACTTCTTTATTTGTGAAATTTAGAAAGAAATTAGCAAATTTAGCATGGCCATGTGGGCAGACACTTTTCTTTCAGATGAAATAAAAGCATCTTCATATCTTCTGCCCATCTCCAAACTGAGAGTCTGTGCAGTGTTCTCGGACAGCTCTGCCTGCCTCTGTTCAGGCTGGAGGCTGTTTTCTGGCTCATTCTTTCATCTCTTCCCTTAGCAGACTCCTGTGGCACACCTCTGCGGTGCTCATGGTGCAGACTCTGCCAGGCAAAAAGCTGCCCCATCTGCCTGCACTGATGAAGCAATGCATTTCATGTGAAGTTTAATAATCCAAACGGATAATGTGCTCACTTTGGCAGCACGTATACAAACAGCAATGCAAGGCAGCACTGAGGGAGGCATTTCCAGGGTGAGCTCAAGGTGGTGAGTTCTGGAGGACAGCAGAGAAGCAGGGAGGGTGTCTCCAGTGGGAGAAGTGGTATAAGCTAAGGAACGGGGTTAAGGAATGCAGTGTGTGTGTGTAAAGCAGAGGAAGAAGCTAAAACTAGATTGAAAAGTAGACTAGGACTAAATCATAGGAGACCTGAATTTTTGAATTTTGTTTGTTTTGCAGCACTGTGGACAGAATGCAGGCTCTTGAGCATATGAAGCAAGCACCGTACCACTGAGCTACACCCCAGCCCTGGAAGTTTAAGTGTACTGAAAAGTCAATCCAATAGATAGTGGAAATTATTAGAGAGGTTATTGAGGAATTAAGGGAAGACAACTGACATTTGTAAAATACCTAGGATGTGCCAAGCTCTATACTTGGTCTTTTACTTACATAAACAATTTAACCTCACAATTACCTAAGAAGCATGTCCATTTTTCAGTTGGGAAAACTTTTTAAAACCTCTTTATGGCAGGCATTATGTGCCTCCTGATAAAAGTATAAGAATCGCCTGTGAAGTATTCTTGCCCAAAATAGAATTGCTATAATGTCAAGTCTCTAGAGTCTACTAATTGTTTACAGGACATGAGAGAACATAGGAGCATGTTAAAGGACAACTGAGAATGCAAACAACAGAACTCAGATCATGAGAGATTACAAGACTTAAAAAACAGGTTATCTTGAGAAAATTGAAAAATTTCAAACATACAAAAGAGGAAATAGTACTATCAACCTCCCCCCATACCAGTTACTCAGCTTCAGTTAATTGCCAGTTCATGATCAGTCTTGTTTTATCTATATCCTCCACTTTCCACCCCAGTTTCTTGAATCTCAGTTGTCATATCACTTCATCCACAAAGATTTCAATGTATGTGTTTAAAAGATAAGGACTCTATAAAGAAAACATACACATAGTAAGTCAGATGTAGTAGCATGCTCCTCTAATCCCAGCACTCTGGGGTCCTGAGTTCAAGTTCAAATTCAACCTGGGCAATTTAGCAATTCTGAAAGCCCTTGCCTCAAACTAAAAAAGGGCTAGGGCTATAGCTCAGTGTGAAAGCGCTGGGTTCAACACCCAGTATCACAGAACAAAACAAAAGGAAAAAAAATCCCTACAATATTATCATGATACCTACATGAATAATTCCTTAATTTCGATATCATCAACTATCTAATCATTTTTCACATGCTCTTGGTTGTCTCTTAAATTTAAAACAAATTAATTCTTTTTGCTTTAGTTATAAGCTAATTAAGATCTATACATTGAAATTGATTGTTATGTCTCTTAAGTCTCTTTCCTGGAAAAGAGACTGCCCATGTCTCTCTCTCTCTCTCTCTCTCTCTCTTTTTCTTGGAATTTACTTGTTGAGGAAATTCAATTTTGTTGTTAGAAGTTTTTACATTTTGAACTTTGGAGATTTGTCCCTTCACTTTGTGTAAAGCGTTTCTCCCTCCTTTTGATTTCTGGTACTCTTATTATGATAGGCAACATGATTAGATTCCAGGTCAAATTTGGGAGGGGTATGGAAGGGTGGTGGTTTGTATCTTCAGGAGAAGGCATAGAAAGTTTGGTTGTCTTTTTTTTTTTTGTATAGCTTCCATGCCAGGCAGGAAGTGGAGGTGCAGTGGAGTTGATGCTCAGGTCTCTGGTTCCAAACCTACGTCCTGACCATCTCTTTCCATTGTCTTCTGAGATTAAGCAGGCAGTGATGTATGGAAAGGAGTCAAGAGGATGGAGCCAGATACTCCACGGGGCAGTGAGGCAGCAGGCAGCCATTGTAGTGATCCAGAATGCACTGCCAGCCATGACTCTGGTGTCTTAGACACAATACCTGACACCTACAAATTAAAGGAGAGGTTTATTTGGCTCACAGCTTTTAGAGGATTCAGTCCATAGTCAGCTGACTCCAGTGCAGGAAGGGCATGGTGGGAGAGTCTGGGGAGGAGAGCTGCGCATGACATGGTGGCCAGAAGTAGAGCAAGAAGGTGTAGCTGGGCAACATACCCTTCCAGGTCAGGACCCCAGTGACCCACTTCCAGCCAGGCTCCACCTCCTAACATCAAAACAACCATAGCTCCCAATGATTCAATCATCTTCCAAAAGCCCCACCTCTGAACACATGAGCCATTGGGGGAACATTCTTGATCTAAACCATAACACCCTGGGACTGCTGTCTCTGTGAGGAAGGTACAAATCATAGGATCTGGAAGTAGTTGCTTCCTTCAATTATGGTCTGAGTCCCAGGCACCTGGACATGCAGAACCCTTTATGTTTCTGGTGATTTCTGAATGTGCAACTGAGCTCTTGGAGTTAAAAGAAGGAAATAGAATTACTCAGAACTGTAAATAGATAAATTTTTTTTTTTTGGTACTGGGGATTGAACTCAGGTCCTTGCACTTGCACAGCAGGCGGCAAAACCACTGAGCTAAATCCCTGGCCCTGTAAATAGATAATTTTGATGACTTGAGAATTTATTTCTTTGGAATACCCCTTTTTCCGAAAGGAATTGGAGATGGAAATTTTTCCTTTTTAAATTAAATACTTAAAAAAAAAAAAAGACAATAACATCACATGTTTGTTACACACACACACACACACCCTTCATCCCAGAAATATCTAATACAGAATCTCACCTGACAGGAATGAAAATCTGAAAGCAAATCTACTCACTTGTTAACTCCAGTTATTTCTGGTAGTAGCAGGAGAAGGGGATTACTAGTAACTGACATTTGATAATAACCTGATAGTTGTTTTAATTTTTTTTGAACACATTCTATTTGTAATTAGGGAAAAAACTCAACCAATCAAACGAAAAAACAATAGGATCTGGGCATGATGGTGTGTGCCTGTGATCCCAGCACTTGGAGGCTGAGGAAGGAGGATCACCATAAATTTGAGGCCAGCCTCAGCTATGTTGTGAGTTCAAGGCCAGTCTGAATTACATAGCAAGGCCCTGTCTCAAAAATCAAAACCAAAAAACAAACAAACGAAAAACCAAATGTGATTTAAAATCATTATAATAAAATGACACCATATTAGCTATCATTTCATAACTTGCTTCTTCATTTAATAATATGTCTTGAGAGGTATAATAGTTCTATAGATACTTAGAATTGCTATCATAACTATAGCTATTATGTAGATATTGCTTAGAAATTGTAATGGTGAAGGTAAAAAAAATCAAAATAATACTTATCAATTAACCACTGATAGGCCTATATAAACTGTTAGTACAAATAGTATGATGCTTAGTTCTCAGAAGCCAGGGGATCTAAGTCTTAATCCTGTTTCAAGTTTGTCCTCCCTTAGCTACTCCCTGGATCTGGCCCAATAGGCCACCATCCAAAGAGCCTTGCAACACAGGGACTTTTTCAGGAAGTCATTTTTATCACATACAGAGTGCTGCACAGTGGTTCACTTTCTTTTTTAAAAAAGAAAAAAAAATAATTTCCCTGTAGTAGTATATGTGACAAATTTATTTGTCTTTTTTTATTTTTGGTACCAGGGATTGAACTCAGGTCCTTGCACTTGCACAGCAGGTGGTGAAACCACTGAGCTAAAACCCTGGCCCCAAATGTATTTGTCTTATTAATCATGTGTGTGAGTGCTCAAAACTTGAAATAAGTTCTACGCCTTCAGCAAAAGCAAAAAGCAGTCCTTGCCCTGAAGTTCCTAAATACATACTCTCTTTAATAACCCAGTACTGAAATGAAACTCTCTTAACTAAGACGGTATTTTTAAAAATTAATTTTATTGGTACATTTTAGGTATACAATTCATTTACATTTATCATTGGGTGTTTGTACCTGTACATGATATATCCTGGTTCTTATTTTTTCCCCATTACCTGT